ATTTAGATTTATTTACCCCATAACAACATAATAATTATGGTATATAAATATAAATATAGTACATAAATAATTATGGTACATGTTTGGATGTTTAGTCCTTTTCATTTAGAGACTGATAAGGCAAAAAAGATATTCGCAAAGGATCATGCTTTCTCTGAAGAAAAACAAATGTTTTATCTGATGTTTGAATTCATCTAGGGAAGAATTTTCACATATTAAGTATGTGCTAAGTGCTGGAAATAGGAAGTAAGACATTATATTTCAAATCATTTAATTTTAATAATGGAAAAAACCAATGTTGCAGAAAAACATCATGCAAAACAATGCCTAGGACAGTAGAAAAAATGGGCATAATTTTAAACATTAATAGTAGGTTCATCAAATAATGACACACACTCATATAATGGAATGTGTGGTTGCATTATTAATAGTAGTAAGGAGTCTGAGAAAAGGCATTGGGGCCATAGCTCTCAGGAGTAAAATGCTGAATTATTTGCCTGGCATGTAGAGTCCCTGTGTTCTCTGCCTAATACTATACACCAAGTTAATAAAAAACATGAAAGTATGTTTATACTAAATAGTATATGAAAAATAGCACAAATGTATTGGTTTCCATAGTAATCTATATATAAGGTAGATTAAGTTTTTGGTGAGAAAACAAAATAATATGCACACTTAGTAATCAAAAATATGTGGAGGTATAGAAACATAACTTTTGTCTCTGTAGGTTTTTACTATCCTACTATTTTCCTGTATACATTTGATAAGATAAATACAAGGAGGAAAGATGATTTGACAGGAATGTCTACCAGAAATGAACTGTCTCTTCTTATATACAACAGATTGTTCTGCAATGAATTTCTAATCATAAAAATGTAAATAATTAAATAGAACCTTTTACAGTGAGAAGCAGAACACTCGATTCTGTCAGGTAAATGATGGCAGCCTTGTCCTCAGAACATTAGTCTCCTGTCCATCTAGCTGTCAGGGCTCATGATCAGCACTAAATCTTTCCAGAGACAAGTTGTCCCTGGTCCCTTAAAACATAATCAGCCTTCCAGACTCCCACTGGACACTCACTGGACTGGTTATCATTTCCTCAGAAGGACACTGCACTCTTGAGACGTCTGACCTAATATTCTCTTCCTTTTTTTAATGGATAGGTGTCACATATTTGGCCTACAGCTTCTCCTCCCATTTATTAATTTTAGATGCTTCTTAACAGTACCTTACATGTCTAATCTTATCTTGGCATCTGCTTTATTAAAATGTCTGCTTCAACAATCTTGAATTGTAAACTATTAACTATTTACTAAGGACAGTTTGCATCCCAAGTATCATGCTTTGTTTTTTTCTCGATCTTATTAAAGTGTTATTTTGCCATATATGAGTTATTTGGATGACCTAAGAATTATTAATTGAAAGGTGCATTGAAGACATTATTTTGTTTGTTATAACAAGAGTTTTTGAACTGAGAACTAAGAAATAATTTAGGTAAAGACAAAGCATGCCACAGCCTACAATCTTGAAGAGAAGCCATCTGTATCACTGTAGGAATACACAAATGCCTAAAGTAAGTCCCATCAGCTCATAGGACTGGTTTTCATGCATAAGGTACAGTTGAACTTTGCTGAGGTGGTCCAGGTTTACATCTGTTGACCTGCACTAACTTTGAATAGTGCCCTCTTGCTCACAGAATGGCTCAGTTTGAATGACAAATCACAGTCATCCTGCATACACTTCACATAAAAATGAGTGAGGGTGTTCTGCTTCTGCCACTGGAGGGAGAACCTTTCATCAATCTACCAAGAAAGCAGATGTGAAACCCAAAACAGCTGTTTGCGTTGACTGAGGAATCTGACTAAATCTGAAGGAATATT